AAGAAAGGACTTGTATCGTTGAAGTTTCTTGGAGAGAATTTTTACGGGAAATTATCAAACAAGTAGATACGTAACATTATATATATTTTTTAGAAAGGAATTATTAGCTAGTAGCTGGAGTACGCGTCCCCTTGACAGAACTTATGTAAATTCATGAATAATGAAAGTTATCTTACGACATGAAAAGTTGCTTCCCTTACACGTAATTGTAAACAACAACAACAACAAAAAAAACCTATAAAAACTGCAAAACACAAAATGTGAAACGATCAAATTTACTTGTATCTCCCCATGGACACAACAAACCTCCATGCCAAATTTGGTGAAGATCTATCAACAGGGGACGAAGTATTGGTGAAAAAGCAAAATGCTAAACTGAAAAATTTTATATATCTCCTCATGGACCCATAAACCACCATACCAAATTTGATGAAGATCCATTCACAGGAGGTGAGGTAGTTGTAATAAACGCAAAAATGTCCATAAAAACCGCAAAATGCTAAACTGAAAATTTCTATGTATCTCCCCATGGACCCAATGAACCTCCATATTAAATTTGGTGAAGACCCATCTACACCCTGCGAAGTTGTTACATGAACATACAACAAACATACATTACTATTATATTTATATAGATATTTATTATGGTTATAACACTTAACATAATTGATATATGCTGTGTATATAATAATTTTTATGGTAGCTTAAGACGTTGTAGTGAGTTAAATAATAAAATCATCAATATCTTGTAATCAAATCATTGTTTTCCTCTTTGTGGATTTTAAACATTTAAAGGTGACATGGTGATGCTCTTGTATGTTAGCGTCCTCTAGTGGGAAGTGTAGACTCCTCTTTGCAAATAAAATTCATGCTGCGCATGAGCTTACGATTCGAATGACGCAGCATCACAATATAAGTGTTAGAAGACCGCTCTCTTTATTAATCTGTCTGTAAAGTCAACTGTCGTGTTCAGAGAAATAGTGAAATAACTATCCAAATATGAAAGTGACTGATCAGATTTTCTGTGGGTTAGAAGGGTGAGTAACATTTATAGGAATAGCACCTAATTCAAACGATATAATGAAAAATGAATTGAAATGTCAACCAACTTACTGTTAAGTTACACTAACACTGTTAATATTACTAAGCAGTGAGGCCTGAGGATATTTTATAAATAATATATGAATTATATGGTGATGTAGATTAAAATATTATTATTTGATAACGACACGGTGTTATCTGTTACCTTTTTAAAACTCTGTTATTATTATATGTTGAATTTTATGATGTCTTGTATCTGGGTCTTTTTAACAAATGACAGTACTATTAGTATTTCTAGCACTTAGTACCAAATATAGTAGTAGTATTCCATGATATTAAGGTTTTACTTAATTTTATAAACTGAGAGCTACCATAGATATTGAACAGTGATAGGCATAAATCAGTACTTTTTATTTGTTTGAAAGGACGACTGTTATTCTTTTTTTTATTCTTGTTACGTAAACGGATATTGAAATTTGAAATGGAAAATACTTCATTGGAAATATTTGTCTAAGCCTACCCATTAACACTAACAGTAGTAGCAGTACTAGTAGCAGAAGTCGTATTAGAAGTAGTAGGTTAGGTTCAGCTGTGGCTGGTTGAAGATCGTGTTTACCTTCGCCTGAGGAAAAACGGAACCTGCTTTGCGTCTAACGAAAGAGTTATTTGAAATTTTTTTGTTGTTGTTTTTTAATCCATCGAACTGAAAACGGTTTCACCAAATGCGAGTCTACAGTTGTATTCGGTTTAGATTAATTTGTCCATTTTATCAAAATCATCGTGCGAATCTGTTTTAACTCGGTTGGTAATAGCTTGCACTAGTTTTTAATTCCGCTTGGTTAGACGTTATGCATAGTTAAGTTTTGAGAGATAGTGGGGAATGTTGTCAGAACAAAAACCCCTTCTCATGATTCTTTATTCATTTTATGAATTCTTACTAAGAATCACAAACGGAATAATAATGGTAACAGTAATATACCTAGTTTATGTCTGTCTTGACTTGTGTGAGAATTAACACCCTAGGTGGCTTAGAACGACACTCGTTGTACGTCAAGAATTAACACTAGGTGTCCTATCACGACACCCGTAGAACTTTGAGAATTAACACCCAAGGTGGTCTAACACTACATACATAGTACGTCGAGAATTAACACCCAAGGTGGTCTATTACGCCACCC